CCTTTTCAACCCTGTTTAGAAGTTACAGGGGTTGAAAGTTATCAAGGGCGCGAAGAAAACACAGTTTTCGAGACAGTTCGCGCGCAGCACCGCTGTGGCCAGTTTCGCTAGGTAGTTTCTTTAAAAAATTATTAAGCCTGCTAATAAATACAAGTATTTTTTGAGCAAGATGTTTGCTAACTGTCGTGAAAACGTTCTATCTACCCTATTTTACCTTTTTTGTAAATTACAGAAGTTTAAACCTTACCACGAATCATTCATTGAATTTCGAAATCTATACCTACAGAATTATCGGTGTGAGAAGACTTTTGAAAATCATGTAAAATACTTGCAAGTATTTTCGGGGGGGGGCGGTCGAAGGTACCCTCTTTGAATCTTTTACAAAATTACAGAGATTAGAATAGTAAAGTGACACGGCAAGAAACACAGTTTCTTAATGATTCTCGCGCATCCCCGTCGCACCGCGCTCTCTGTCCCGTTTTTACCACAATTTGAGTGAAAGTGTATCCCTGAATTGGAACAATTCAGAATCTCAGATTGGGTTTATTGAATTCATTTCTTTTCAAATGAGGTATGAAACGAGCGAAAATATTGCGTCAAAATTTCCGGCGACTGAAGAAAATCCGCGGAAATTCTTTAGAAAAACTGTATTTGCCTTTCGTGACAAGAATGATGAAAAATAAGACATTAGTTGAGGTCTGTAACGTTGCAATCGGAGCTAAATACGCTTCCTTACGCGTGCAGGAAAGGATGTTTGAACTCATTCACGGCAGGCGCAGTGATACGACTATTCGACCACGGGTGTAAGCATGTTGCTGCCAGCCGGATTGAAGGCGCGCCACACTCCAGCAATTACTCGGGTCCCGTCCCGTGCGATCTCCCTGGCTGGCGCGCCGCTAAAATCGCCGCAAAGGGAGGACTGCACGTCATTATCCTTGACTCTCTGTCCCGTTTTTACCACAATTTGAGTGAAAGTGTATCCCTGAATTGGAACAATTCTGAATCTCGGATTGGGTTTATTGAATTCATTTCTTTTCAGATGAGGTATGAAACGAGCGAAAATATTGCGTCAAAATTTCCGGCGACTGAAGAAAATCCGCGGAAATTCTTTAGAAAAACTGTATTTGCCTTTCGTGACAAGAATGATGAAAAATAAGACATTAGTTGAGGTCTGTAACGTTGCAATCGGAGCTAAATACGCTTCCTTACGCGTGCAGGAAAGGATATTTGATACAACTATTCGACCACGGGTGAAAGCAAGTTGCTGCCAGCGGGATTGAAGGTTCGCCGCGCCGCGCCGCTCCGCTTTGTGTTTGGCTCTAATATTTAAACTCGCGGTGTCAGCGTTATTCAACTCAGGATTTTGAAATGTTTGCTTACTCCGTATGGATTATTCTCATTTATATTGATGAAAAAAAATATATTTTAAAGGAAAATATAATGTGTGTTTCGTAAATATCCAGGGTGTAACAACTAAGTGGCTTAAAGGGAACTTAAAACTTAAAGGGATTGTTCTATGGCTCAAAACAAACAGAAAAGTCCAGAACCAAAATCCTCTGAGACGCGTGGTTCTCGAGTTACGGGGAGTTCAATTTTTTTTAAAAAAAAATACCTTACGTGTTCGGTTATGACGTCACGGTGGCTATCCTAATTTTCGGAACTCAATAACATTTGTTGTTTCGTAAAGTACTCATCAAGAGCCTAAAAAAAGGTTCTTTCGTTTTGTTTTCGTAAAACCCCTCCTAATGGAGTTATTTACTGCTAAAAAAAATACCGTTTTACCGTACGTCCTGACTTACTTTATTTGCGATGTACGGTAAAACAGTATTTTTTTAGCGGTAAATAACTCCATTAGGAGGGGTTTTACGAAAAAAAAAAAACGAAGGAACCTTTTCTTAGGCTCTTGGTGAATACTTTACGAGACCACGAGTACTTTACGAAAATCCATAAAATGGATTCTCGCTTCTCGCAGAGCCCTGATAATCTATACTATAAGCTCCGAGGCCTCCTAATTTTGCGAAACTGGTAACGCTTAGTTCCAGCGTTCTACCGAGCCGATTTTCATGATTATTGCGGCTATCGACGGGCAATTGTCTCTAGATAAGCCAACTCTTTTCAGATTTTCAAAATATGGCCCAGGTTTTTTTATATTAAGTGGTAAAGTTGCGAATTCTCCCTTTTAAACAATGTAAATTTATATTTTTTGTCATAGTTCGTTTGAGCGTTCTACCGGGCCGATTTCCAAGTTTTTTGCGGTAATCGACGGGTAATTGGCCCTAGATGAGCCCGCTCTATTCAGATTTTGGATATAGGACCCAGGTTTTTTTACAATCACGTTATAAAAGTGAGTGAATTTTCAGAATGCTCCGAGACTGCTACCGCTATGCGCGGGAGGATGCGCAGTGGTCGAGGAGGTTGCGCAGTAGCTGTGTAGCCTGCGCATCAGCTCTACACTTATCTACACAAGATTCGCATCATTTAATTCAAGACGAGCGGTGGCCGAGTCGTCAAAGACGTCGGAAGCATCCACTCAGTTCATGGTGTGGGTTCGATCCCCGTCTCCCGATACTCTTAATTATTACCTGATTATCAATATTCGTTGTTTTACTGAAATATTTCATCAAGCAGTCATTCCAAATCGCGCCCTTTAGACTTCAAAAAAAATGTTTGTTTCTTTAGTCATCAAAACCAAAAATTATTTCATTCTAACAGTAAAGTATACCTCATATCGTAATTTTTTAGGGGAAAAATAAATAAAACTAACACCGATAGGAGAGTAAAAATAGGGTCGCGAAGCGGCCCATTGATGGCGCGGAGCGCCTTCAGGGGGTTGGGCCGCGTAGCGGCCAGGGGGCGTAGCCCCCTAGTATTACATATGGACTAAAATATAACGCTTGGACCAAGGCACTGTTGCTTATTTTACGTGTGGACGTAAACTACTGGACAATCAGGTGCGCGAACAAAAAATCGTTTACGGAATGTCCTGAAACCGGAAAGACGTAATCCACGAAATGTCTTGAAACCGAAAAGACGTAATCCAGCCTCGTTGTTAAACTTTTCTCCCGAATCTGAACGAGACCTCACCGGTAGCATGAAACGGAGCAATCCGAGTTCACGCCTCACCTCATGACGCCTTCAATTTTGCTCATGCAACATGGGCATCCGCCAAGCACGAATCAGTCCGCGGGGTACACAAAAAAACCCTCCACTCTTTTATTGGAAATTTCCGCTTTCAGGGATCATTTTGATGGTCATACGAAGCTCTTTTAGAAGGGGAAGCACTCTGGGGTCCGTGCAGGAATCAAGATGACGGCCGTTAAAGATCGACCAAAACCAACCTCTGTGTTGGTGAAAGTAAAATCGAATAAATAATTTTTTTCTTTCGAACATTCAAATTTTGAAAAAAGAAATTACTATTATAGATAAAAAGATCAAGAATTAATAAATTCATTTAATTATCAAATGATTTTGCATACATTTTGATTTGCTGAGGAAAGAGTAGAAGGAAGAGAAAATTATTTCCGTTAATTAAGGACGAGCAATTAATTGAACTTTCGCGGAACTGTAAAACTGCTGCTTTCTGTCCGAAAATCCATTTTATTTAGTTTCACTTCACATCATGCTGATCTTGCAAAGACAGTCCAGCAACATTGTAAAGACCGGGTTGCCGCGCAGGACAGAGGAGGATAGGTTATGGAGGTTAGTACATTCGCCCATTTGTACGCCATGTTGATGGTGTATCCGGTGGTGCTCAAGTGGCCAGGGCCCAATTAAGGAATTTGGCGCCCCAGGCTGATGATTTCTTAGCGCTCCCCCCCCTCCCCAGTCCTTTTCTCTTTTGTCTCCGGGCCCAGAGAAGGGGCACCAGGCGCATAGACTTGCCTATTCCACACATTTTTTCCGCTCCTGATGACGAGGATTTTCTTTTTTCTCCCTTCATAGTCTCGATAAAATTCAAAATTTGGCGCCCCCAAGAAGCTTCAAGAAGCAATTGAAGCCCTCCTGGGGCGCGAGCTCACAAGACACTTCAACTTACAAAGTAGAAGTTATGACTGTCATTCAGAAAGTAAGGTATTTTATAATTTTCTAACAAACCATCAATTTTAGAAGAAAAACGAACTATCCTGTACGACTTAGTATACCCTTAACTTTAATTTACACCCTTTCCTAAATAAAAATTGGAGCACAGGTAAGCTTGGGAGGGAATTTTCCCCCTCCACTATTATCGCACTGATACTGAGTACTCCAAAAATTTGTTTTGAAAAAGAGTGAGAGGACTCAGAATTTGTGCGTACTCGTACAAGTTTTTTGCGAGAAAAAGACATAAAACACATTTTACTTTTACCTTTCAGCTTACATTTCAACATTATTGCTGTTGAGATACAAAGCATAAGCTTGCAAAACATTTCCTGAAAGAGCTCAGCAGGTAAATTGGACCCTATTTAGCAATGAGGACCTTAAATTCCTGGCTCATCTGTGAAAAAAATTATGTGCATAGGGAAACTAATGGCACATACGTTATTCTTAGATTGAGCCAGAAATTGTAGTTCCTAATTGCAAAAAATGGTCGAATTATTGAACCAATTTATCACAAAGTTTTTCACTTCCTCAGGAGTATCCATCCTTAATCCTTTTCATTACGGTCTAAATCTTGTTCCCTTAGGCTTTCACCTACTTCTAAGTATTTCTCACAGAACTTAATTTAAATCTTAGAGTACTTAATCCAACAATATAATTCGTCCTTTGACAGGATTAAATGCTTGCAAGGAAGCCTATTGGAGACCTTACTTTCTAAAAAACCCTCATATGACATGTAGAGCATTTCTTTTACTTAGTCTGGCATAGGCATAAGGCTGTGAGGGGTGAACACTGAATCGCGAGAATTGGTCAGCATTTTAGAAATTTCCGCATTCCTGAATGAGCTTAAAGCAGGCTGAAAAAACAGTAAATTTTAAACATTTTAAAAGTTTAGTTGATCAAACAAAAGTTGATTGGCTTACCTTCATATCGTCCTCTGATTTCACAGTAATGTCCATCATAGCTCCACCAATAACCTAGAACCAAATAAATTAGAAATTAAATATGAAATTCTAAACTAGTCACAGAAAAAAACCTTGCTGAGTATCAGGAGACGTATGCTACGAAGAGAATTAATTTTGCTCTTCCATAATTGCAAAAATATTGCAACATCCATGTACCTCATAGGTGAAGATATGAGCTAAAATTAGAAATTCCTTGACTTTCCCTCATCTAGAATTCATCAATTTCGCCTTACTAATTGCAGAGTTCCAAACTTCTTTTTCGTAACTGAAATTTCCTGAATTTGATTCAACACTTCTGAAGCAGAGATAATTCCATTTTCAAAATTGATAAAAAAGTCACTGTTCACAGCGTGTTTTACATAGTTCTAGCTCCATTGTATTTTTAACTTTAAAATTGTGATAGCAAAAATTGTGATAAAGTTACCTATACATAATACAAAAATAATTCAAGATACTTACAACTACTTTTGATGCTGAAGGAGACGACTGGCTACTACCAGATTCTGCATTTTTCTCACTATTTTCCACACTAATTCTCGCACTAATTCCCGCACAATTTTCGGTGCTAACTTTCTTTCCACCTAAAACACTAAAAAAATTGACAGAAATTACTAGACTCGGGCTAATAAATGTACATGAGAGAAAATTATACGCGCCAACTAGGGATAAAAAATCACTACTTGGTCAAATTGAGTTATTGACATTCCAGAAACACCTAATACAAGATTATCATGACTCACTCTAGTTTCTGGCATGCAGCGTAGGTCAAATTGTATTGACAAAGTGAAAATTCTTGCTAGATTTTGACTTTTTAGCCAAAAAAAACACTATGGCCCCTGCGCATGAGCCTAAAGGATTGTTCTGAACCAAATACAAATTACAAAAGTCAAAGAAATAAAAGCAGGATTCTTTTTTGAAGAAAAAGTTGCATTTACACAGTGATCAACCTCTGCATCAAATGCGACATTTTTTCCCAAGAAAAATCCTGTTTTTATTTCTCTCTAGTTTGCGAATTTCTTCAATTGAGACTGATTCTTCAGGCTCATGCGCAGGGGCTAACATCCTCTTCTTGGCTTGAAAGTCAAAATATGCCGAGATTTTTTACTTGATTGATGCGACAAATCGCATGCCAGGTCAACCATGCCAAAAATCCAGGCCAAATCATCTTAAGTAATATAAGAAGAAAAATTGGTGAGGGTTTCTAAGATCTGGGGAAAATGCAGAATTCCATTAATTACAAATTACATTGTGGGCATTATGATCACCATCTACTTTTCTCCTAATACCTTAAATTGGTGGAAAAGAGGGTATGATCATGATTCGAAGAAATTGCAGGAGCAGATATAAATCATAAAATCTTGATTGTTTTAAAAGATATCATCTCCTGACAGATTAATATAAAAAATAATTTAGTGTGGCAAGAGGTTTTTGAGAGCTGAGTTGAAGTCTATTAAAACACATCTGAAAAATGAGTCTGAGCTTGTGACTAAAAAAACTTCAATTCAAAAGATTCTTGAACTTTAAAAAAGAAAATTAGGCCATGAAATAGGATGGATTCATGAAGCGATTTGAAAAATCTGAATCACATTGATATGAAAATGGAGGAGTTTCCTCTCTTCCAGGTACCGACTTAAGAAAAATACACATAAATGATTGCTGTCATACCTTTTCTGTGTTTCACCATGGAGGCTTAATAAATCAGAGTTGAGTTTACTTAATTCGACAGCTATCTGGCTCCCAACAAGGGCATTATTTTTTATCAGGGCAATATCTAGACGAGATAGTAAAGGATATACACTTACGCATTGAAACGAGTATAAACATGACATGCTCCGTTCAATCAAACTTGGATCTCTCATGCTCATTTCCAAGTTGGAACATCAATAGCAAATCGCCTTAAAACAAAATGTTTCCTATTTTGACCTTTCCTGAAAGAGTCAAGAATGGACTACAGTGGTGAAATACTTGGATCAACATCAGCAAGACATTTGTATAAATGGAATATATCAGTACCTAATTAATTAGCAGTAATTAGCAGTATGTGTATTAATTAAACAAAACAAAGGGCTGATAAACCATTGGAAAAAAAAATCTTTGACTAACAGACGGTTTCACCAACACATAGAAATTACCTGCATCTTTTTATCAAATCTACTTTCGCGCATAGAGATAAGCACAGCTTCAAATAATTTGAAATAGACCCTTAAATCCTCAACTTCCCTGGAGAACTTACAACTATTCAAAATATTCATCCTAGAGGTCATCAAGGCTTATGGGACTAAGAAAGTCAACCGAAAAAGTAGCCTTCTTCTCTAATCGAACACCTGTCTGAGCAACCAACCATCTGCTATCCTCTGCACAGGTCCATACCAAACCAGCTTCACAGTTTCGATATTGTTCTTGTTGCTTTGTTAATCAATTACACTAATCAGCCCTTTGGTGGGGCTGCAGGCAAGTTGTATCTAATTAGATACATTTTTAGCATACGCCACTACAACTGATTAATTATTCTCGATTCTCTGCTTCAAGTTCATGTTTACCATGAACTAAAACATGAATAAAAAACCCAGTTTAAGGACAAGAGGAAAAGGTTTAATAAGAAGGATACTAGTCTCTAGAGATTTTCCCTTCGTTGCATCTGCAATAGCTTTCAATAAAAATGGCGTGACATCTTTTCCGGCGATACCTTGTTCTTTCATCTCAGATAGAGCCTTCTGGATGACTTTATCCATGTCCTCTTCTGTAAAAACCATCAAATTAAAACATAGCATTAATAAAATCCATCAAAAGTTCAGTTTCAAGTTTGAGGTTTTATTTTTTGGGGCATCAATTTTTGTCTAGCTCTCTCGATAATTTTCAAAGATTTCTGCGACAAGATGAAATCCTTTAGAGGAGTTTTTATTTATATTTTTGCTCACATGAGATTTTTAAGTTTAGAGCATTCCCCATCCCATCTTGAGTATTTACCATGAATATTTTTAACCAATACTAACCATCATTCAAAACGTATGCTCAAAAGTTAGCGTTAATTAGAGGCCAGCAACAACGCAGATTTGAGGAAGATAAAATCACTAACTGTTGCTATTCCTCAATTTAACCCTTTCCGGTCCGCGGCAGTTTTCCACGGCCGTCGTTAAGTGAGGTTAAGGTAGCAGCGATGTTGTCAACAAAGACAGTGGTTTCCAAAGGCTCCACCAGAGGCCGCCACTTGCTGGAGCAGTCGAATATACCCGATATCGGGCCTGCACAGAAGTTCAAACTTTTGGGCGACTATATCCGACATCGGACCTAAACGCGTTATTTTTCACGGCGAATATATCCGACATTGGACCGGAAAGGGTTAACCCACATTCCAGTGTGCGTAGATAAAATCACTAACTGTTCCTATTCCTCAATTTACCCCACATTCCAGTGTACGTAGAAACTGCCTTGACTCCAGTCTTTAATACATTGCCCATTGGTTACAATAAGTATTCAGTATTATTACAATACCGATATGATATTTAAGAGGAATCATATTGCAAAATCTACATGCCTAGTTTGAATTTTGCTTTCACTTACTCTTGATCAATTCAGATTGTTCGGGGACCGGATTAGCCAGGAGCAAGCCGGACTTACTGTTCATCATCACAAGAGATTCTACAAGTTTTGCAGCATCAGTGATGTTTTTAACATGATATTGCGATTTATAGCCGCTGTCCCGGCAGTAGAAGGCAGGAAAATCATTTGTTTCACCAAATGTGGCCACGCAAACTCCTTGTGTTTCCTGAAAACCAAAGAAATTTTAAATTATAATTCATTGTAATATCATTAATCAGCCTCCAAACCCTTTGATAAACTTACTGGGAAAATGTATTTCTAGTCAATGAAGGATAAAACAACTATTCTTCATTCATGAAATTTTGGCATGATTTTCCTGGTCAAATAGAAATACTGTCATCATTTCATGCAAAATTTAAGTTAATTTCATTATTACAGTGCTCAATGCAGCGTTTTTCATTCTCCATTTAACCTCCCCTGAGGACTTCAGACTGACTCAAATAAATTTCTTCCTGCCACCTCTTTATTTATTTTTTTTTTTTTTATCCAGAACTAATTTTACGACATAAACTGTTCTTGATAATTCTAATGGTTACCAAATACTCCAAAGTCCGTCCTATATCCAAGATAGATTTGACACCACTGGATATAACTGCAATCGAATGACGTCCTAGCTCAGTTAAGTCTGCGCTGATATCTAGACTTGTTTGGCCATCTCTATGCACTCCTCCAATTCCTCCTGAAAAACCAAGAGAAAACACTAATTTTGGATGGATAAAAATACAACTACTAGCAAAAATGAAAGAGGAACTTTACAAATAGAGAAGAGTGATAACAAATTAAAAGGCTCAGGATTGGCAGCCCAAAAGGCATACTGCAAAAAAAATATTGAAATTCCCAGCAGTTTGATGCAATGAAATTGGAGTCTCTTCTACCATGAAATAGGAATATTTTTTCATAATTTGGTCAATCCAATGCCAACTTTAGACAATTATTAAAATAGGTTGCATGTATCGTAGGGACAGGCAATTTGCACCACTTTTACTCCAATAACTTTCGATTGATTGGACGAGTCCCTTCCGAATGTAGATTGGTAATATACCAACGATGAAACTGTAAAAGCACGTCTCTCATTTGCAGTGTTTCAAAATCCTTGCTCCCATTTTATTTATCACAGGAGAAGGGACCAACGCTGTGGCTTGAGATTTTTACAAAATATTCCTCATACAGAGAAGAAAATTGGGGTTATTAGAAAAAGTTGAGTGTTGCAAACAGAGATGTGCTTTTTCTGCCATTTCTTATGTCAATACACAACACTTGGAAGCAGTAGCAACAATGTTAGCACGTAATTAGAATTATTTGTAACCTGCGTTACTTGGAAGAAATGAATGAACAATTAAGGATCCCAGAGGATTATTTGCATTGTTTTTAAAGTTGGTCAATACAAGATTGCCCATTGAAAGGACAGTAATGTCGGAGAAGGAGATTGAAAGGATAAATATTGAGAAAAAAGAACAGGGCGGCTTTGCAAGTTACCTCCGGCAAACTTGAGTATCCAAATACAGTGAAGTAACTGAGTTCAATTCTTAAAACCAGAGAGGAAGATGTTACACACTAAAAGCCCTTTGGTTTCAGGGTTAATAAAATGATCCTCATTATGATTAATTTCCCTGCCAGAGAAGAATTTCAATCAACAACTTTTTTCATACTGTACTCATTATAAAGAAAAAAAAAAAAAAAAAAAAAAAATTTCCACAAAATTGTTGATGTAACTGTAAAAAGTAAATGTAAATATAAATTACTTGCAGATGACGACTCAAAACTTACCAGTGACAAAAATTTTGATGCCAACTTTGGAGCACACGAGTAAAGTTCCAGAAACAGTTGTTCCGCCATTCAGTTTCTGAGAACCAAAATAAAAATCATAGAAACAAATCACACTTCTGTTCCAAATATTTTGCTAGGTATAAAGTTGATAAAAATAGGTGATTACACAACAGTGATAACGCGATCGTGGTCCGGTTGCTTTCGTAATTCGGCCGTTTTTATACCAATTTATATACGTTTTAAAAAATTTTAGCAATAGTGGTCAAATGTGCGGTTGTGCGCTCGTATTTTAGTTTTTCGTTGTTTGACGCGTATCCGCGCCGCGGTACAAGTTTTCTATTTGTAGCCTGAAGATGAGCGTAAAGCTCGAAATGCGCATCGCTTGAAAGTAAAACATGAATCACCATCGGGAAGAAAAAGTGAGTACAAAACCCTTACCCTGATAAAAATAGATTGCTCGATCCATCAATGAGCTATGAGCCTCTTAAATGATGATTTTTTAGATACTGATGATTGATGATTTTTTCAGATATTTTAGATAAAATTACGCATGAAAATATGTGAAAAATTGGGAGGAAATTATCCACAAGTTTCCCAGAAAATTCGTAGTTTATAAGAGTAAAGTTAGCAATGTCTGAAGACTCATGTGACTTCTCCCTCAGCACAGTAGAGTAGCAAAAATTTCACCGACTGTTCTCAGCTAGTCAATTCATTTATACATTTTTGCGAATTATTGTGTGTTTTCGAATCATTACTGTACTGGATAACATTGTAAAGTTGTGTTTGATGGTGCGAAGCCATAATTATTGGTAAGACAGCATCAACAATGTTTTATCAGCATATTGCACAAAGTGTAAATTTTTGGAAAAAATATGGGGTGGCAGCCACTTACGCCATGCTTGAACTACTATAACTTGGTCATTTTTTTCTATCTAACTGATCTTAGACTCAATCGACTGCTTTTAATATCTCCTTTCAACTGAAAGAAAAATTAGCTCGGTAGGTTTCTTAGTTTTTTAATTACAGTGCCAGTTCTTGTTATTTTGGGACATTCGATAGAGGTAGGAGCAGCTTTTGTGTTTTGAAAATAAAACAAGGATACCAGTACCTTACTTAACACATAGGGAAAGTCCCGTCTTGAAGACTTGATTACAGGAGTGTCAGGCTTGGCCAAATAATTCAAATCTTCATCAGAGAGACCAACTTTGAGTGTCCCTCCCAATATTGCTATTGTTGCAGGTATAGCACCCTAAAATAAAGAGAAAATTCAAACCAAGTCTTCATCAATTGAAGGTCGGAAAATTGAAAAAAAGAGTATAAAAGCAAGATCAAATATTCAATGAGAAGAATACTTTGGACTAACCATAGTTTAGCCTCTGGTGTAGTTGCGGCACTGACGTTTTCATTTCATCGGCTTGAACTGAATCTTTATCTTCCCTTTTTCATATCGATTTGCACTTTCAAGATCTTTTCACTGAGATCCAATGATGAATTTTGAGTAATAGACTCCAAAGCCATTCGCAATGCCCAGTTTTGCAGTAGTGATATTCAATGTTCATTTCTGTTATCAATTCTGTTCTGTTAAAAAGGAACAGAGCATTTGAATGTTGCCAAACTTCCTCTCAGAAAATATTTATTTTCGAAGAAAGTTATGAATATTTTACTTGAAATTTTTGAACATTTTAGATTAAGTTTCGAACAAAATTCCCAGAAAAATCGGAAGTAAGATATTCACAAATTTTCCCGAAAATGGTTGAAGGGAATTTGGCAGCGTCTGAAGGCTCATACAGCATTTTACCTTAGCACGATAGAATTCAAGTGAATGTCCACAGGAAAAGAGCCATTGGTACCAAAAAATTCAAAAGTGAAATACTGATACCAATGCAAAAGGAAATTGATGGTCAAAGTTCGAAACCAAGTAACTCCATTTGCGACGTTTCAAAGTTTCTGTTCCTGGTTTATTATTTTTTTTAGGAGAAACGAGCAAACTTAAGTAATAGCTTGTAATTTGCATGGAATATTCTACTAAAAGGGAAGAAAAATCAAGTAAGTTTTCAAGAAATTATGTTGACTACTTTTCCAAAGAAAAAATAGAGTAGGTATGACAGGAATTCTGCTACATTGCAAATGGAGATACATGGTTTTGTACTTTGACCATCAAAATGTCCGATGACTATTAAGTGCAAATACTTTAAGTCCGACGAAACTGAATTCAGAAGTGCAGAAAGTTCTGCGGAGCAAAAATCAGTTGCAATTTCAGTATCAAAATGTTTCAACTCCACATACTTACACTTCAAAAGTACAAGTTGAGGAAAAAATTTAGACAGTCAGATCTATTCCAGATCCATCCCTTCTTTTTCATGAAAAAAGTAACGAATAAAAGAACTTCCCACAGAAAAATTTTCAGACAAACTTATGGATTTTCTTATGCCGTGTGTTGGCCATAAATTACGTACATTCTGCACCTCTGAGTGAAGTTATGATGACCTAAAGTACCTACGTAACTCTATTTTTTCTCCACATAAGTACCTGACTCCGCACAATTTCTTCAACTTCTTTCGCTGTTTTTAAGTTGTGAGGATATGGCATGCCATGGGTTATGATTGTTGACTCAAGGGCTACGATGGGTTTTCCAGAGGCAAGGCCATTTTTAATTTCTGGAAGTACATCCAAGGGTGTGTTAGAGCAGAGAGATCTGGATCTATGGTAGAGGTGGCCGGTGAACTGAGATAAAACATACTTCTTCATGGTGGAAAATCTGAAAAAGAGAAAGATAAGAATGCTAAAAGATCGATGAAATAAAGAGTTCAGTGATTGCACAGGAGATCTGGACCACTTGAAGTAAGCTTTCTCAGTTATTGAAGGTCGAACGAAGTCGGAGCATCTTTGGAACGAGTTGGGAATCGAGCTCAAGAAATCCAAACTGCATTGTCCCATAGCCCCTCCTAGCTTCCTTTGGAGGGTAAAAAAAGAGTCCTGATCTTAAAAGTAAAGGTATCCAACAACATTTTATATTATTTTAACAATATCATAAAGTATAAATTATTTTAAACTGTCTGACACCATTAAGTCTATTCTTTAATGGATCTGGATAAAATGTATTGGGGGACAGAGCTCTAGGTTGTAAATTGGCGCAGAGTTTAGCAATAAGACACATCCCAGGGTGCTTTGCCGCAAATAATCCGATTTTAATCGCAAAATTAATATTCTCAGAGACTAATAACCTGCGCACTCATAATTTCCCCAAATCTCCTAATCGATTTGGCAGCGTAGCTGGTATTTTGAGGAAGGAGGCTCTGTCCCCTATCTGAATAATCAGACAGGGTATAGCAGATTTTGAACTATTTGCTATCAACTAATTTAAAAGTTCACCACAATTTCTGATTTTGTTAGAATGGTATCAATACATTTTGCTTAGAACCTCACTTAATCAGCAGCCCCCCCCCCCCCTTCCCTACAGAATGAACGATGTTCAGCAGAAAGGAGGGGAAAGCGGTTTGAAACCAAATCAACCCGTTAGTATGCGTCCATGTCATTCATCAAAAGCTTCCTTGTTTGACTTGTTACATGAGAAGTTTATTGTTGGAGAGGATGCACAGCGCTAGAGTACCTTTATAGCGAGAGTATGGACAGATCGCTTCATGGAGGGCTTAGGGCCCAAAAGTGCAGCCCCCCTTCTAACCAACTTTTAACGCACAAAATTCCACTGCCAGTCTGCAGATTCCAATTCTAACCAAGATAGCCAAGAATGTACAGAAATGAGCGTTCTTCCGCAAAATTGAGTAGATTCATGCAAAACTGAGTCAAACACGTGCTTAATAAACGACGGTTCGTAACAATAGTATTAGTAAATCGCTCTGGATACTTGAAATTCATAGGTTGGCTGCATTTCTGGGCCCTAACTTTATTCGCAGAAGCATCGGTGAAGGCCTGATGTATTTTCGGAGTTTCACATCTGTCCATACTCTCGCTATACAGGTACTCTACACAGCGCTTTCCCTCATTTGATTTTATTCAATGGCTGATGTTATTGAGGACTGTGCTGGAGTTAACTCCGCTTCGCTCAACTGAGTATACGATTTCTTTACTTGCTTTTTGATGCATATCTAATATGAACTGCTTTGTGAGAAACTAACAAAAATAGATTGCTAACTAAAATAGTTGCAGATTAGGTGGGCGCTGAAAGCAGAGATGATTCGCTTAAGTATTTGGCAAAAAGTAATTCCGCTTATTAGTTGAAGGGTTCCTTAATTGAAACTTTCCCGTGAACTGATCATTGACAGCATAGATCATTGATGTTGTATTGCACTGAACAATGATTGAACAATTTCAAGTACTTTATGAGAACAAATATTCATTTTAAAGTGGATGTACAGAATTTCTACTGATATCAACTGGATTGCATCATCATAATAGATAAGTAATACGGTCGAACCGGTCGAACCTGTAAGCCAAAGGAATCCAAATTCTGATGAGATTATAATTTATTGCTGACAAGTGACAAGGGCAGTGTAAACGACGAAGAGTATTCACAAATACCAACAAAACCTTTGATTAAAACACCGAGTAAATAGATAAACGATATAAATTTCGCGAACCGCGACACGAAAATTAAATAACCTCAAAAGTTCCGAATGTGTCAACATTTTTCCCGCCTAAACCGGCGAGATCTCATTTTCGGTGCGCGGGAATTTTGAATGAATGCTCCAATGGAATGAGAGCGTATCTTACTAGTGAATCTGATACTGTTGAGGATCGATAATTTTCAGAGAAAATATTTTTTGCATTTCTCAGAAAAAAGTACTGAGAAGAGGGAAGAATCGAAGTATTTCATTGGAAATACCAATTTTAGGCCGTTTCAAGGGAAACGGGTGACCATCCGATTTCGCGGTTTTCTTATATTGGTTCAGTTTATCTTATACCAGCAAATTATATGAATATCCAAGGGTTTTGTGTCGAAAAATGTAAATTTTTCAGGGCAAAATATGAAAAATCAGTATCTGAAAGTCAGTGAGGACCAAAACACACCAACTCGAAAATTTTTAAACAATTAATTCTCTGTCATCAAACATGGTGTATCAATTTCAACTTGGGGCTTTACAATGTCTCAAGGTACTTGGTCTTTGGCACCAAAAAGGTTTTTCTTAAACTAACTTCTTCGCCCGCTGTGCAGTTTCAGGTGTTTCCTGAACAATGTTTTTGATCCGAGTGGGTATGTTTTTGAACTCACAGATTCAATTGAAAAATGTACCTATTCAGATGCAAAAAATATCTGAAGACGAATGGGCTTGAATTTCTTTAGGAGCAAGAGCAAAGAGGAAAATGATACAAAAAAGTAAAAATATAAATATGTATATATTCACAATCAATGGCACAATGATATGATACATCAAACAGAGAAGATAAATACAAATAAACAACTTTTAGAATAATTTTTAGTGTATTGTCCAAAGGAAATACACTATTTTAATATCATGCTGCAGGGCAACAAATAAAATGCACGAAAAAAGGAGATCAGTTTCTTCCATTCTCATCAGAAACACAGTTAATGCTTTTGGAGGATTAATTGTTTTGTCTATTCGGAAAGGAAAGGGAAAAATAAAGTTTACATGTAGGAAAGTAGTAACATATACTATTTGATTTTGTGAGACCTGTTTCAAAATTAAATTTGTAGGCACTTAGGCATAAATTTTAATGATGAAAACCTATTTTCCGGAAAATGAAAAATTTTGACAGGATTTTGATTTCAAAAAACACTTTCTTCACCTTAGAAAAGCAATTAAAATAACAGATTTGCAGAAGTTAAAAACAGATAATTAGAGTAATTGATTCTGGTAGAATTAATTTCCAAAATTCTAAAACTCTTCTTTCTTTCCTCTATTTCACTTGTTGAATTCCACAACATACAAGATGGTCTCCAATGTATTTTTAATATTACTTTCAAAACTTGAGTCACATTTTCATAATGGCTAGGAAAAAAGAATGAAGTAAAAAATCAGAGAAGTACACGTAATTTAAAGAAAGATTTGCTTTAGAGTCAATTATGCTCCAAAAATGCTAAAAGGAATGAAAATGGTCAACTTAATTCACAAGAAAACCTTACTACCTAAATATTTCTCTCGTAAGATAAGAATAAGAAATTCTTGATTCTATAGGCTGCATAATCGCAGCTGTAATGAGAATGTTTTGATTGATGCAAGCTTTCAAATTCGTTTTCAGTCACTTTAAAATCAAATTAACAGTTTTTTCTCTAAGGAGTTCAAATTATCAGCTAGACCAAAGTCTCGAAAATTTACAACTTACACTTGACAGTATCAGATGAGTTGCCGGTAGCAACTATTTTGAAATATTTTCTTGGAAATCATCTTTCATTCTAATAATTTAAGCGTACAAGTAAAAACCTACATTTACAGCTGTACAACAAGCGCACAAGCTACACTGAAATAAATAAAACATAAAATTAAAAAAAAAAACTAGAGAAGTACTTTGTGTACTTAACAGACAAATTAAATTTACAAGAACGATGGAGAAAAAGTTCTCTCTCCAAAAAAGGGTAACTGAATCGCTTGTACGAGGTATATACATGTAAATATGGAGCCATATCTGCATAAACAGTGGATATCAGCATTTGTCGTTTTTAGGGCTAACACTGTTGTAGAATTTGCAGCCTTCAAGAGTGTTGGTAGCAAGTTTCAGACTTCTAGCATGATTTTCCATTGAGATAGGTACATATGAAAAGCCATGTTAAATATAAGAACAGCAGAAGTCTACTTTTAATGCTTTTCCAAACAATTTGCTCAAGTTCACTGATCTTGAGGATAGTGTACATATAATGAGCACATTGCACTGATCATGAAAGTGAGTAAGACCTGCTACAAGTGTCATGGGACATGGCATCTTTTTCAATATTTTTCCCTATTTTAAAAGACTAATAAGATATATCTTGTTTCTTCTTTTCTATTTAGAAAGTTACCAAACATGTAATTTTTTGACAGATCATTTAAAAACTCGATAGTGAATAATTTCAATCGCTGTACCTCTTTTGCAGTAACTTAGCAGTTTATTTTATATCTAAGAAAAGCCTCACAGTAAAGACACCGGATGTGGTTTTTTCTTAAAATCTCTGTACATCTTAATTAACATTAACCTCAAATTTAAAGTTTTAGGGCTCATAGAACCCTGTTTGCTTTACGGACATCAGAATGCTCAGCTTTGAAAACTTCAAACATGATTTTCTCAAAACTTAGAAACGCAACATCTGCTGTGTATACATATATGGCTTAACACGCCAAAATTAATGAAGGAAGTTTCAAAAAGAAGGGCTTACAATAGTCAGATTGTGCTTGTTTCTCTGAGGAGTCACAGGCGGGCAGCATCTTTCAAACAATTGCTACCAGTTATCTGCCGTTCAAGAAAAAGCAGATCCAAAAAATTGACTTGCTCATGTTTTGTGGGCCTTTCTTCCAGAGACTTCCTCAAATTTATGAATTGACATGCACGGACGATCTTCCCAAAAAAATTAAGGGATTGGAAGCAACGATTCCTCCACATTAGGACTCCTTTTCGCCAAAATTTGACACATTATACCTACCTTTCCAAACAATCTGTTGAGAAAAACTGGCATATTACATCATTTCTACCCCGCAAAGAATTAAACATCCCAAAATGGTATGCTTGACAGTACTTGTTCAACTTTCTGCTGGGTGTGCTAACCCCCTTAATAGGACATAAGTTTAAAATTGCTACTTAAGATTTGATCAATTATTGACTGTAATCTCCTAAAGTCACACGATTTAAGTAAAAATTCTATAAAAAAAGAAAATTCCATACAACCTGGAAACTAACACTTTATTCCTTACTCAATAAAAAATTGTTCACTCTCCAAAGCTGCATGATAATATTACAAAATCTGACAGCTTCCACTATTCATAACTAAATTAAAATATTTGAGTGGTATACAGGTATAATTCTTATGCATCCACATTACAACACTCGAATGATGATTGTAATTGTACAGAGGATCACAATAAAGTCATCGTTGGTATATTAGAAGAGTTTAAAAAGGATTCGATACTCAATTTGAACAGAACTGCCATTCTGCTGGCATAGAACTGGACGTATTTCTACCAAACAGACCTATGTGGCGGTGAGAAATATGGGGTGTGCTCTAGAAATCTGCATAAGAAGCAATGTAAAAGTGGGCGTGGTTCCTTTTGAAGAATTGGAAAAGCGGGATAATGCATTCTATCAAAGAGACCTATGTGCAACTGAGTGAGGAACTCATGAGCCGCGGGCAGGGCAAGAAAGCGTTGTGGACAGGGCTCATGAGTTGATGACCCCCGCGAGCAGCACGACGGCGGTTCCATCTCCGTTGACGTCACTGGCGCTTTATTATTCTCATTCACTCTTACGGCCAGAGAACTAACGAGCAAACCCCATATTTCTCACTTCCACATAGGTCTGTTTGGTAGAACTACGTCCAACTCATCTTCTGAGACGTCAGAGGTGGTCAATATTTCCTCAACCTGTCGCTAGAGGGGCACATGAAGAGGTACACCTCTCAGATTAAATGAGTGCAACCCTCGACTTCAAACGGCAACCCGAAAACTTCATGCAAGAAAATGGCAGCCTTGATTCACATTGATAAGGATGGGGGGAGGGGATTGAATTCTATTTCATTCAACTTTGTACAAACCTCTTCAGAATATAGTTACTCATTTGAAGAATTATCAACAATAATAGACTGACAATAAGTGTTAAAAAGTTGATTTCAAGTTATTCATATTTTTACTGCTGAAAACTGCAGCGAACACACTACTAATGCTATCTTTCAGAAGTTATACACACTATTCTGTTCTGCTGTACTAGGAAAGACGCAGTATGAGTCTTCAGACATTGTCAAATTTCCTTTGACAAATCTTGAATTTTCGGGAAAATTTATTGACATTTTTTCCTGATTTTTCAGAGAATTTTCTTCGTAATTTGATCTGAAGTGTCCGAAAATTTCAAGGAAAAATTCATAATTTTCTCCAGAAATGAATATATTTCAAGGAAAAATTTGGCAACATTTGAATGCTTATAAAGCGTTTTTCTACAGCCTGGCAGTATTGTTGGTGGCACTTCTCCTGAAATGATGTCCATTGTCCTTATTAAAAAAAAATACCACAAAAGCAAAATACCATAGTGTGGAATGGATCTTTGATTGATTACCGCAAAAATAAAAAAAAAAAAAGGGAAAAAAAATACAATATGAGACATAAATAGAAAGTTGAATCAGTGATTGCTTTTGAGGGCTCATAGGCTTGAGGAATTAATCCGATCCTCTTTACAGTCTTATAACTATCAGGTATAGATTCCATTGAAAGAAAAAAATATATTTGTAAGAGAAACATATTTGACCTGTATATTGGTATGTTTGTTACAGACAGACATGGGACGCCTGCAATTTTCAATATATTGATCAACACTTCGAATTTTTGGACATTTCCTCTAATTTTCAATGAGTTTATTCAATTCATTAATTGAGAAGCAGTTTTCATAGATTATTGCAGGAGTGTGAACAAAATAAAATATGATATAACCCCTTTACAAAGTTGCATGAGAGACGATAAATTCCACAATACTTAATAACTAGTTCAAAAGGTTCAATTTCATTTGACCACCAGACAAGGTGCAAATAAAAGTATTCTGACGCATGTTTCCTCATTTCCTCATTTCTTGTAGAACTTGATTCACACAACAAAAATTACAGACATTAATTTCTAACCAGGTTAGGGCTTTTGTCTTGGAGGGTGCATTCTACCATGTTGAAGACCTCTCAAAGCTCTAGCCTTAATCCATCGCTTCTATCATTTTCATATTTTTGCTCTTACATTGCCTATATTAAATTATTTCTTAAAAGCATTTGTGTTAAATTTTTATTGATTGTTAGAAACAATTGTTAACTTGTAGTACTATTATCTTGTAATCTGACTTGTACGATCCCTTAAAGGGAATAAATGTACCGACTGCAAAATAAAATAAATAAAATAAATTACCAAGATATTTGATGTTTTAAGATGCGTAAATTGAAACCTCCTGCTTCGGGAAAAACAGAAGCCCATATAGGTCTAATCGCGAACTAAGCGTTGCTGCAACAATCTCTCTAGCATGAAAATGAGGAAACCTATATCTCGGTGCTTTGGCTCAGCTGTTGCTGGTTGTTAAGACTTTCAACAATGGAAGGAGGAGAGGGAAAATTGCTTGATTAAGAGGCTTGCAAAAAACTGTTGTGGTGTGCCATTTAATTCAAGTAGAAAATTGTTTTTCTTGTGAGCGAGAAATTCAAATTTACCTTAACCAATGTAAACTAAAAACGTAGACATCTTGGTTAGGAGTTGATTTCGGTCATATTCTTGGTGGGAATCATGTTCTATATGAAATTTCCGCCAGATAGCATGTATCAAAATGCCTAAAGAGCCTCCCAAAAAAGAGGCTGATTTTGGCCCCTTTTTAGGTATTCGATTCGACCATCGGACCAAGGTTTAAATGGAAGCTTATATTAACAGAAAACTCAGGAAAAAATTTCAAGATGAGTATAGGAACCGTTTTCGAGTTACGGGGGGGCAAAGGGGTCACAATCCGGCCTAATTTTTTGCTGTTTTCTTGTAGAATTGATGTATCGGTGGGGTTCTTATCGTTGTTTACGCATGTGTAGCACATGGATTCCTACGTGTTTTTACACGTAGAATCGATTTTTAACGTTGCCGAATCGATATACTGATCGGTTAAATCGATTTTGAACGATTTATTAAGGAAAATCGATGATTCCTCAGGATCGAAATTGTTTATTTTCGACTCATGAATGAATAAATGCATCTGAAATGACTGAAGCACACGTGACCCTATGTATTTTGATACGTAGAATTGATCTTTAACGTTGACGAATCGATTTATCCATCGTTTGTATCGAATTTTTGCGATTTTTTACGGAAAATCGATGACTTTTCGGAATTAGAATCGGGTTTGCTCCATCCGAGATCGGAGATATGTACCCAACATGATTGGTGCACATCGACTCTAACGTATTTTTATACGTGGAATCGATCTATAACCTCGATAAGTCGATACATCGATCAATTGTATTGAATTTTTTCGATTTTTTGCGGAAAATCGACGGTTTATCGGGATTGAGATACGTAATAGCGATTTTTTTACGGATATCTGATGGTTATTTTGGACTGGCATTGGAAACATCTACCAGACATGACTGGAGCACATCGATTCGTTTTTGATTAGTCTCGCAAAATCAATGTTTAAGAAGTCGACGAGTCGATACATTGACTGGTCATATTGATTTCTTGTGATTTTTATGGAAAATCGATTTTTTGAACAGGAATGAAATTGGTTACTAACGGTCCGAGGGCGGAGATATGCACCTGACACGGTCGGAGCACGCCGTTTCCACGTACTTTTACACGTAGAATCATTTTTAAGGTTGACGAGTCGGTTTGGCGATCTGACCAATCGATTTTTTGGGATTTACGGAAATCCGATGGTTTCTTGAAGTTGAAATAATTTTGATTTTAATCAAAATGGGAATGAAGGAATGCACCCGACACGAAATGATTCTACGTGTAAAAGTACGTGGAAACGGCGTGCTCCGACCATGTCAGGTGCATATCTTCACCCTCAGACCGTTAGTAACCAATTTCATTCCTGTTCCAAAAATCGATTTTCCATAAAAATCGCAAGAAATCAATACGACCAGTCAATGTATCGACTCGTCGACTTCTTAAAAATTGATTTTGCGAGACTAATCACAACTGAATCGATGTGTCCAGTCATGTCTGGTAGATGTTTCCAATGCCAGTCCAAAATAACCATCGAATATCCGTAAAAAATCGCAAGAGTTGTGTATGTCAGATCGATATATCGACTCGTCGACGTTTAAAATTGATGATACGTGTAGAAATACGGAAGAATTGATGTGCTCCAATCATAAAGGGTACATTACTCCGATCTCGGATGGAAAGACACCTATTTCAATCCCGTTAAACCGCCGATTTTCCGCAAAAAATCGAAAAAATTCAATACAATTGATCGATGTATCGACTTATCGAGGTTATAGATCGATTCCACGTATAAAAATACGTTAGAGTCGATGTGCACCAATCATGTTGGGTACATATCTCCGATCTCGGATGGAGCAAACCCGATTCTAATTCCGAAAAGTCATCGATTTTCCGTAAAAAATCGCAAAAATTCGATACAAACGATGGATAAATCGATTCGTCAACGTTAAAGATCAATTCTACGTATCAAAATACATAGGGTCACGTGTGCTTCAGTCATTTCAGATGCATTTATTCATTCATGAGTCGAAAATAAACAATTTCGATCCTGAGGAATCATCGATTTTCCTTAATAAATCGTTCAAAATCGATTTAACCGATCAGTATATCGATTCGGCAACGTTAAAAATCGATTCTACGTGTAAAAACACGTAGGAATCCATGTGCTACACATGCGTAAACAACGATAAGAACCCCACCGATACATCAATTCTACAAGAAAACAGCAAAAAATTAGGCCGGATTGTGACCCCTTTGCCCCCCCGTAACTCAAAACGGTTCCTATACTCATCTTGAAATTTTTTCCTGAGTTTTCTGTTACTATAAGCTTCCATTTAAACCTTGGTCCGATGGTCGAATCGAATACCTAAAAAAGGGCCAAATTTTGGGAGGCTCTTTGCACCTTGTCTAGTGATTCATTCAGTAAAAATGAACAGTCTGGCATTCAAACAAACTGAACCATCTGTTGGTTTTTGAAAAAGACAATTGAACCATAACATTACAGCGAATTGCTCACGGGGTTTGACTTTAAGAATATAAATTAAAATTTACTCTAACAAGATGCAAATTGTCACAATTATTATTGCACAAGTGAAAATAAATATTTGAAAGAATTATAAATCACTCACGAGTAGTTGGAGCAGCAAAGATTTTCATTAATAATACTGAAATTCTTGGAGAAAAATAGATTTCTCTTCCAGTCATGTAAATTAAAAACATACATAAGTCACACGCTTAAAAAAAAAGAGAGTATCAAAAGCAAAAATGAAAACGAAATGGGAAACCTCATTTGATGATGAGTTCCTTCCATCACTTACAAAAATGAGAGGATGTTCAATTTATTGGAATTAATTTCATCCCCTGGTTTTCAACAGCAAAATATTGATGGCCAATGTGCAAAACCATGTATCCCCGTTAGCAACTGCCTGCCATACTTTATTTATTTTTATTCAAAAACTGGTCAACGTGATTCCTTGAAAACTTCCTTGAATTTTCCTCATTGTTGACGGAATATTCTGTATAAAGTTAAGCTATAAAGTTATTTTTCTTTAAAAACATAAAATAAGAGCAGAAATTTTGAAATGCTGCAATGGAAATATGTGGTTTTGCACTTTGGCTATGCGTATACATACATATTTCCCATCCAACCTTCCCTCAGGAATGAGAATTTTGTGCATAAATTCAATGAAATTCACCAATTGCATAACACTACAAGATTTACATTAATTTTAAACCAACTTTCAATAGTAAGCTGATAAAAGTTAGTTTTAATATCAATTGGTTGTCTATGATAGAGGACAGATGCAGAGGCAAATTTGTGCAGTGCCCTACTATCTTACTCACAGCCATTCCTAAATTTATGGGCCTCCGTAACTCCTAAAGGAGGTACCATCTATACGGCTTTTACCAGTACAAATTTCACACTTCCACCTTTAAACGTTCCGACCTACCTCCAAGATTCCATGGACCATTGCCAAACTTGACTACACTTGGCAATTAGAGACTACAGATTCTGGCTCAGTTGAGAAAGAACGTATGTGCCATTAGTTTCCCTACGCACATGAGTGTTTTCACAGATGATCAAGAAATAGTTGTTTCTAATTGCAAAGTGTAGTACAACTGGAATCCCCCTCCAATGATTATTATGACAAAATTCCTGGTAATTCAGATCTAAAACAAACGGAAACGACATCAAGAAGCGAAGTCCATTCCCAGATCACAGACTGACAAAAAATTGGAAGAAATTAAAACCTGACTAGATGCAGCTCATGGAGCCAGGACCGAGGTCCGAAGGGCGTACTCCTACGTGTCTGTAGTGGTCTTTGTCGTTTCATCATCAATCGCATCATCCCAATTGAATTCAGTCTTGTTCGGTAACTCTCCGAGGTGATTCCATCGTTCTTCAAATTGAGGATCTCTCATTTGTAATTTATTGAAGCGACTGAGCAGAAAAAGAAATATGTTAACTATTAGAAAAACGACTATGACAGCTTGCCATTAAGAAAACTATGAAACCAAATATCTCATTTTGTGATGTTGCGCATTTCCCATTACATTTTATTTTCTTCAACTATGGCTAATCATTGTTACTGAATTAAAATTTACTTGGTAACGTCCTCTGTGATTTGTAAAGAAAAATCAAGAAATATTCTCTTGACTGAAGTAGAGGTGGACATTTAGAAACGTTGTGAACAAAATATACATTTTTGTTGTGTCACCATTAAACGGATGCATGAATGCTTGAGGGCAGATGCTGTAATCTACTTTGCTGAAACTTTTTAGCCAAATTTTACAGTACCTACATATATAGTAGCTACAACAATTTTGCACTTAAATAAATTTCAGTTCAAAATTGAATCTAGCTTCGCTAAAAAAACCGTTTCCTTGAAATAAGTTGGAAAAAACTACAAAATTTTTCCTGGTCACTATCTTTCTCCATGCGTCTATTACTGAGCATACTTAATCATGTATCTTCAAGTTGTACACCTGCCTTAAAATGCAATGAAATTTTAATGAGAAAAAAAGTAAAACAAAAGTTTTTTTTTGTGACTTTTTGGGGAATTTTGTGCCTGGGAGACAGTCTTTTTAGAGTTGAATGATTCTTCTGCATATCAAAAGCGCACTCTGTGTTTGTCAAATTCTACAAGGAAATGTTTTCCTGAAGACACGGCAGAGTCTGATTGATAATTTATTTTGTTTTTTCGATTATTATTCTCAGCAAAAGACTGAATGAAAAAAATTTACGCACCTAAACATTAGTGACTTTGCAAACTCATAGAGTTCAATATCCAAGCTATTGAGCCTGCGGATTTTTTCTATTTGGTCCTTTGTAAGAGTTGCTAGGACGGCGTTAGACAGAGTTGAGTTATGCTGGGAAAAAGTCACAGCAAATCTCAGATTGAAAGTCTCTTCAAAAACATACTGACCGATCTGGAACATGAAAAATAGAAATTATAGAGGTATGATGATAATCAAGATATCATTCTTGTGCCATATATGCTCACAGATAACCCGTGCTCCAGATTTTGAAAGAGTCAAAGAAGAAAAATTCCTGTTTAACCCACATGCGTCCACGGTGGTCTATTTCACTCGCATCGCTAAGTAGCGCTTGATAGGTATGCAATTTCTGTGAGATTCACAGATAACCCGCCACCTGATTTTTGAGCGTAGAAATCAGGGAAAAAAGTGCAGATAACCTGCGAGCGTACACGGTAGTTGGAACAAATAACTACTTATGTCTATAATTTTCCTACAGGTCAGTGTTCAAAACTCACCTTTGAGTTACGAGGTATGATCAATTAGAAACCGAACTTTGGCCATAGTGGGCCAACGGATGATCGGATCAACATTTTCTTGGGTTTATCTGATTGCTGATAAACTGACAAACATGTTGGTTTTTACGGATTTCAATTATCTTAACTAGTTCCGATTTTACAGCCATTTGATTCAGGTGTGTTCAAATGCGTGTTGCGATTTTGAGAAATGTGAGAGCTTTTAGAACAACGGTGTAACATTAAATTTTGTTCTAAGTTGGGTAAAACGTTTTCCGAAACTTTTGCACTGTTATCGAGAGTTTATGGTGCTACACTGGTTTACTTTGCTACAGGTACTCTAGAAGCTAAAACGCTAAGCACAAGACTAACTCCAATATATAGAAGTGCATCCAGAGATGTCTCCAAAAGTGTGACACACCCTAGAATACTGTAGTTTTGTTCATAAATAAAAAATAAAAAAACACTAGAATATTAGAGATCTATTTTTCAAGTCTTCCAAGTAAGAAACTTTTCCTCTCCTTCAATTGGAAGAGGAGTTAAAATACAATGAATAGTTACAGCAAAGAGCTTTACAACTTTTTCCATAGATTTTCTAACCATTTGGTCATTTACATGAGTACAATTTACCATACGTTGGAGAGCACCTAGGTTCCTTCAATGGAGTAAGTTTTTTTTTTACTTTTCAAATATGACTTGAGACATTGTTAGACCATCTCAGTCAAGTTTTTCAAGATAAATGCCCGAGAAATTGTGCACCTTCATTTGAATAAAAAAGCTAATTTAGATACAAGATGGTTATAAATAAATAAAAATTTACCTTTTGGTACTCTGTGAGTGCAAAGAATGCCATGTTGGCCAAGTTCTTTTTTGCACTTGCGAGTAAAATCTGGTCTCGGTCCTCCTTTGAGTAAGAAGATGTATTGTAACAACCAACCAAAGCCAAGTCAGCCATCATTCTAGTTTGCCTGTCACCAAAAGTAAAATCAATCATCACACAAAGATAAAATGAGGTATGGTAATAGCAGGAGCAAGAAAATAAAGAGTAAACAAAGAGGAATAATTCGCAGTTTATCTCATTCTTACACAAACCACTAATTAGGTTCACTCTTTGTGACAAGACCTCGACCTTTCGAAGAGAATAGATCTTCACACCACTGAGAGAAGTTTTTAAAGGTGAATGAAACTATGTGTAGGTTCTCACTTTACTTTTAATCGAAACTTCTTTCCAAAATGTAAATGAATGACAGGTTTTTTCTCCTTAAACTCATTAAAAGCTTAGGTAACTGCACACACAGTCCTTTATGTAAAACTATTGGGCTGGGAAATGATTTATAATAGCCTTAGGAAGCCATCAACTTGAGGTGTAGGGCTTAGAATTAGAAACTATACTGGCAGTTGGAAGACACAGTAAACTAATCGATCTTGTCTGAACATGAGGCAATAGTTGATATTAAATTTCTTTCATGTTCAGTTAGGAGACTTTACTTACCTGTTATTTGCTAAATTATAAGGACAAGACGTGAAACTGTCAAAGGTAACATCACTCCAGACAACTCCTGGGTAACATTTGGGCAGCTCTTGCTCCGTTGCCACCCGACCGCCGCACCAATGTCTTGAATTTTTCCAGGTGGCCCCTCGTTGAACATGGCGAAATTCAGATAAATAGCGGCTGATAGGTTCTCTAAGAAGGGATATATAAAAATACCTAGAACAAAGAAATGAGACAAAAGTCGTTTATAACCATCATCAGGAAATACAATTAAACAAACTTTTGAGCAAAAAAAAACCAAGATGGTGAATTTTCAAGATCTATTTAACATTCAAAGGCAGTTGAAGCGGAAAGAAATTATGGACAATAGGGACTTACTTTAAAAGTTGATTGGCACTAGTAAGAGCATAAAAACTTTATTATCCCTGTTGAGAACCATCTCTACAATAAGCCAAAAAACAAAAATGCTATTTTTAAAAGGAGTAACCAAACTCAGGATTCTTGAAAAACAAAGAGCAACCTAGAATATTGGATCACCCTTGATGACTCAATTCAGCACTCCATCTTTGCTCCTGGTTGAAGTAAAGCTATGATAATGCCGGCTATACCAAAAAGCTGAAATTTTATCTTTTGTCAGTCTGCTCTGTACATACTTTGCTTTCCATTGCCTACTGCCCTGCTGGGTTAACTCTGCAATTTTTTTAAGACAGGATATTTCCTTCTAAATAATTTTTGTTCTTCGGGCTGAACTAATTTTGTAGGATTGATAATTGAAATACTTCTGCCTGAATTGCTTTAAATATTCCATACTTTGAATTGCAAATGATGTGGGCCTACATGCAGAGACCATGCAGTAAGTAGTGACTAGTAGATCAACAGATTAACTAGGAAAATACGGGAAGATGTTTGTTCTCAATGATTGCATCCCTCCTACGAACAATAGTTAGCACTCTAGATGCAGTGCATATTGATGACAGAAGTCGAAAAACATGCAACATTCATTACGGTATTACAAATCTCCACTCAAGCTTTATTTTTGAAATTATTTGCCAGTAGTATTACTTGTAATTATTGCTGGCTTTTTTTTTTTTTTTTAAAAAAAAAAAAAAAATAAAACACAAGTAATTGGAGATGTGGAATTGTTGCAATGATGTACATTTATCGACTTCACGTAACCATTGATGACATGCCCTGACAGATGTTGATGATAAAGTGGGAGTCACTGTAACTAGACACTCCTGTCAGTCTAGCAGCTGTTAGAGCAAAGATTTTATGAAACTTTTCAATTTGCAACAGACAGATGGCAGGCCAGGGGGCCAGATTGACTGCAACTAAACCTTTTCATTCTGCTTTTGCTACAGTTTCTTCAGAAGTTCAGAAGCTCGCTGATAACATTCCAATAAATTAACTCAAATGTACTATACAGAGTAGAATTTTTACAGCGGCATGTATTATTACAAGCTTTCATAGAGAAAGAATGATGGAGAATACATTAAAAAGGGGGTTACCTCCTTTTCACTGAGTCACCTTCATTCTTTATCAACTCAGCATCAACACAGCTTGAGAGTTCTGTCCAATCTGCGTGGAGTCCACACTTCCATCCAATAGAATATCGGCTGAACAGCCAATTTTCATTACGGTTGGGACGAAAACAATAACAACGTTTTCTCTTCTTCTGACATGTACAGGGTCTTTGCAGATCTAAATCCTGTACTAAATGCCGACCAAAAGAGGTACCTCCTGTCTTTTGAATATGCAAAAAAACCATTACGTCGTGAGCATTCATATCAAACTGAAAATTCTCATGAATAATTTCGTCATAACTTAGACCAGGGTTCGGTAACTTGGAGTTGAATGGATCAGAGAGCAAGGACAAGAGTTTAACGACATGTTCAGGGGTTGGAGTTCTTAGACTAACTTCGGAACAACTTGGAGATTTGAAATTAGAGAGCGCACAAACTTTATCTGAGAAAAAGAAACCAAAATAAACCATACTGATAACAACAAAGAGAGCGCAAATAAACACTAGCTTATTGAGTCTGAACTTGTATTCCATTTTGAAATCACAAGACCCACTGTCCGAAAAAAGGTAAGCGGAGTCACTATCAACTTGGACCCCTGCGTTTTTTTTCGCCATAGCTGATTACATTTCACTTATTGTGCCAAGCAGTGGGAGAAGAACTGATAAAAGTATGTATCAGTGCAAAGTTCACATATCAACTTCCACTGAAATGATTCATTGGAAGTTCCGAGGAAACCCTCAGTAACAGAGTTTTATCACTTCCTTATCACATAACTTCCACACTTCCAGCATTAAATCCTCTTAGTTTCGCTGTTTTGAGGCTTGACCATAAAAACTAATTGAAAATTTCTGATCTATGACTTTTTCTAATTTTGGCTTTCTTTCCACTTTCCAGTTTCCACTATCGACTGGGGAACACAGACATACACATACAACCTTCACCAAATGTTTTCTGGCGTTCTAACAATAAGTGAGCCAATCAATAAGCTTTATGTCGAGTATTCAACCAATAAGAAGGCCTGTTTACCCACGACGTTTGGAAAAGCAGAGTTCACCATTTTGTTCTGTCGAAATGATCACTCTATTAAGTCTATGGTTCAATGTTTTTCGTTCGAGGTTATATGAGAATTCTTTCTTATCACCGATTAAAAAAGAATAATTCATTTTAATAATTTAATCCCATCAGTGTCTTTGCTTATTCCATGTTCTACTAACTGCTGACCCCACGTATATACTTAACCATAGGAACTTCTTATCCGGTGCTTAGGTAATCATTCTTTTTTATCAGATTCATGAATAACTGCTTTCAAACGAAATCAGTCAAACATATCTAGCCCTGTTATCAGGGATTCTCAAAGCTTGTACAAACGTCCCATCAAGACACTTATCTTCATTTGAGAGCCATGAGGAGATCCATCCAAATCATCTAGTAGGAATGGACGAATATCAAATTTGAATGCGATTATTTGAAACTTTTTGGTTCTGTTTACTGTGACGATTTGGACGTATTTCTATCAAATGAAACTAAGCGCCATCGGGGGATGAAGGGAGAGGGGGGGCTTGGATTGGCGGGTGTTGCGGTACGCGATGCTCGTTCTATCCTATGCTCGCAATGCTTTTCCATGGCGTTTAGTTCCGTTTGATAGAATACGCTATCCGGGATTCTTAAATCCTCCAACGGAACTCAATTTGGTGCTTAGTTCCGCTTAACAGAAATAAGTACGTCCATTTGAGAAATCAAATCTTGCGATAACGAATACTTTGAAGCAAATTTTTGAATATTTTCAATTGTTGCTCCGATTTTTTATTTTTTTAAAACATTTTTTACTAGACTTGCTAGGCGCCTTTCACTAGGCTCTATTATTCGTACTTTTGGAAAAGTATTTTCCACACAATGGACTTTTTCGAACCATACTTACTGGTGGTATTTGGACTCTACGGCATGAAGATATAGAGGGTCTAACCTTAAAATTTCGAATTATCGGAGGGGAAATAATAGATAATCGCAGTTTTGCCTTTTCATTGATTGATTGTATTATAATCGAATATTCAAATAATTTCACCAACATTCGACTATTGAAATATTTGACCATCCCTATCATTAAACAAGTAACTTCCGCTCCTGGGCATGCCTGTGCATTAGGTTCCTAATGAAGTCCCTCTACGGCCATATTCATGATTAATTTGATTTTAGTTTGGCAGGGTGAAATCATTTCACTTCAAGTTTCAATGAAAGGAAATATTCGATCCACACGTTTTGGGAAAATTTCATATCAAATTACAGCAAATATCCTCGACAAGGCAAAGAAAAATCCTAAAATTTTCCACAATAATGATAACAAGTTTGTCCCGAGAGTATTTTGGCAGTAAGTAGCGTTGTTTCGTCATCAGCTGGAAGCTGTATTTTCCACAGTCACCATGAATTTTTTATCAATCACACTAAAAAAATTTAAGTACAGAGTGCAAAAATTGCAATTCTCAGGTGCAGTGATTCAGAATGTTTGCTATTATTTATTGTGAAGCAAATGCCAGATTTCATGGAAAATTGTACTAAATTTCCTCAAGATTAAGTAAGTATGTAAACGAATGAAAATTCTTCAATAAGTGGCCAATGAGTTTTCGTTTTAAAATTCGGATTAGCAGCAGGGATAGTATAACACCACAACAAAGAAAAATCCCTCCTACATTCAATGATTCAATTATGGAAGTCAAACAATGAAAAATACCAAAAAAACATGAAACTCACTGACAGAATAATGATAATTTTATTCTGCATCCCACAGACATTATCATAATCCACAAGGTTTCAATTATTATTCTTACTCTGCTTGACAGATTTTTCCTCCTGAAAGGTCGCACCGAATGGCTCGGAGCATGTGAAACTCATGTTGCGTAATCAGTCCCATGTTCAGCACACCTGAGCGTCTAGCAGCCCGTACGCCCAAGGATGGGGTTGGACGATTTGAGTTCTTGGAGCTACTTGTCAAAGAGTTCAAAACTACCAAATCAACAGGTTACTATGTTCTTCTTAACTTTATATCATGCTAATAGTAGTTAGATAAAGATGCAGATACTCAGATTGAAGAGGAAAGAACAGCGACAGCGGGCCGATTATTGAAATTTAAACCAGCCCGATAAGACATCGAATTGCGATATATTGCACGGTTAAGATAGGGCTATGTCTTGTCGTAAGCGGCGACATAGAGTCGATGTCATTTCAATAATCGCCCCGCAGGAAGGAAGATAAGTTTATCAGGACCTCCTGATTAATTGTCCCATATCCCATTGATCACTAAGAAACGATGTATGCTTAATGATTGAAGCAGATCCAAGAATACATTTAATGTAGCAATGACGAAGGAAAACTCAAAGTACCTCAGAAAATTCTTGAATATATTTAAATTTTCCCTAAATTCTTAAGGTATGATAATCCTTAATTCAAAAATATTGCAGCAATTCATTTAGAGTTTCACACATTTTGTGACATCAAGTTTTTTCGTCACTCATCTTTCAAAAGATCAATCTTATTTTTCTTTTGCGATGAAGACCTCTGCATTTTGCAATAGCCATCCCAAATTACCTTGGAATCATGGCAGCCAAAAAGCTGATCTAGTATGCGTTTAAAAGAGCAACTTTCTTTCTACTGATTGACACCCAGTTTACTTTATTCGCTCAAACATTTTAAAAATTATAAAAATTTGAAAAGGGGAAACCAATTTGTACCCTCTACCTTTTCAGGCACAGATTTTTCTTCCTAGAGGAAGCTCTTCAAAAACTATTTTCCATGTTAAATTCTACTGATGACACAAAATAGAAATAGAAAAACTGAACCAATTATTTCTATCATAGATACTAACATTTAGCAATTTATTTTTCAAATTTTCACAGAGGCTAAAGAGCAGGTGTTGGCAAATTTAGCAAACTTTGCCTACGACCCAGTGAACTATCAATTTCTCAGAAAACTGTCTGTGATTGATATTTTTCTCGATCAACTTGGAGAAAGTAACAAAACCTTACGACAATATGCGCTTGGAGGCTTGTGTAATCTTGCTCTAGGTGAGGACTGATACAAACATTTTTTTCTTTTTCTTTTTTTTATAGTGGGATCTATCATCTTTTCCTTCAATCTGTTCAATCTTGATGTTGTTGGCTGTTCTCAGTTCAAAATGGTACATTTTTAATTGGATATACAATGGCAAACAAAAGCTTTAAATAACGCTTATTTTCTAAAGCAGAAACGAATTAGTGATTATAACATGTAAAGTTGTGCCACTCATATAATTGAAATATGCAGGAATTGAAAGAGGTACTGTGGGACACTATTATCTTAAAAATAAAGAAATATAGGTAGGCAGATGATTTCGAACAAACAGGCAATGAATCTCGACAAGTCAGAAAGACAGATAGATGGATAGAAAGATAGGTAGATAGATAGATAGATCGATAGATTATTCATCAAAAGTACATAGGGCACAAACATGACAGTGCAGACTTAAGGTTTATCACAATTCACCTGCCGTGGAATCACAGCAATAAAAATACTAGGGCAGATTATCAATTTACAGATAAGGTATTAAAAAAGAAGTTGGAGACAGAATTTGTCCCGAGTTGGAATGATTAAAAGAGAAAAAGACATAACATAAGTTACGCCAAAAAAACCTATCTAAAGACAATTAGATAAGAAAGAAAAAGACTCGAGTTCAACCAATCTTAAATCAGACATAATCTCCGCATCACCAGAAAATCATAGTTCTCAGTGCACTGGTTTTCTCTTTTCCAGATCGTGAAAATAAGTCCTACATTTTGCACTGTGGGGGTGTCAATAAAATTGCCTTATTCTTAAACAATTCAGATGAAGATACAGTACTATCTGCCATAACCACACTGATGTTCCTTGTCAATCCTCAGTCAAAAAAAGGTTTGTACCTAAGTAATTGTAAACAATTTATAGCTGACAATGAATGTAAATCTTTGAGAAGATCAATCATCCAATTATGAAATTGATTTCAGCCCGTTGGAATATGTTTAAAATCTCATCAAAGTGAGGCTATTAATGCAAATTACAAGAGAAGTTCAATAAAGAGTGTCGGAAATTTAAAAAAATTTCATCAGTTGTTTTACAAATTTCAGTCAGTTTCGAATTTTTGGACCCTCAATGGGCCTGTTGCAAACTTTTGCTAGAGCAAAAATAAGAGTTGTTTCTTGTAGATAATGCCTCAAAAATCACGATGAGCGCATCGGCAAAGTCTGAAATGCACTCATAACTTCACAATCTGCGTAAGAAATTTGCGTTTTTTGAAGCTTCCCGCTTCAAAAACGATACTACGGCGTAGGTGAACATTTTGTTAGAGGAGTCGCTCCATCGTCGGCGATATTCATCATGGCCGACGCTTGCACGCAGTTCCGCGCGTAATTCAAGGAGAGTTCAAGGTCAATCCATTCGGGCGTGGAAAATATGAACGGTAACACACCGATTGTTATCTGGTCTAATCCAGTTCAGGTGTTATCTCGTCCCATCAAACGTGTTTTGGCGGATTGGCGTCGGCTATGATGATTATTGCCGACGATGGAACGACTCCTCTTACAAAATGTTCACCTGTGCCGTAGTATCGTTTTTGAAGCGGGAAGCTCAAAAAACCGCAAATTTCTTACGCAGATTGTGAAGTTATGAGTGCATTTCAGAGTTTGCCGATGCGCTCATCGTGATTTTTGAGGCATTATCTATAAGAGACAACTCTTAGTTTTGCTCTAGCAAAAGTTTGCAACAGGCCCATTCAATAACCTTGAAGGGCAGTATATTTTTTTCAAAACTTTTGCCACTCCTGAAACACGTCCTCAAAACCACCCTTTGCCAGGTGTTAGAGGCTCGCCTCAACAGAGAAAAATCAGAGAATTTGAGAATGAAAGGGTTATAGAAACCTGAATGGGAATTTGAATTGTGATAGACACAGCTGGCCAACTATTACGACCTTGTCGTTGATATTAGGTACTCACTTAATAAATCTAATTCATTTCATCGTTTTTACTTTCAGAAATCAAGAAGCCAGATACTTTGAAAAGTATCCTAGAACATTCAAGGAACGAGAACAAGCGGATATCAAACCTTGCAAACATTTTCTTACAAGACTATTGCACTTCTGAGGAGATAAATGCTGTATTATTAATGGAGGAAATTCAAAATATCCCTGTCCCTGGACCATCTACTTCTCAGACTTAAAACAGGCTTTTTCAAAATTAATCATTGACACCTAATTCCTTCTTACCCAAAACTTTATTTTTTTATAATTATCAGAAATTGTTTTTCAATATTGTCATACATTGAAGATTTGCCCTGAGATTTCATTCATGTTCATTATCTTGGCATTACTTTCTAATTGTAGCGTTTCCTTCAGTATTTGAAACTTTTTTTTTTTTTTTTTTTTTTTTCAACATATTCAAAGTTTTGCTCCAAACAGATTAGTCCTCTTTTAGTTTCCCAGACTTTCGGTTAAGCAGAAAGATCAAAAATTTTATGGAATAACGATTTGAGCCCCCTCTATTATTTTCTGACGGAGATCTGGTTCTGGTTAAAGTACCTTCCTTGAGTGGCGGTTTCTGTAGTTTTTTTTTCAGGTATTGCATTTTAGGTACAGAAACCTAAAACATATCATGACTGTATCTCATAAGTTTATTTCAGATTTTATAATCAGTCTGTAATACCATGATACAATGAAACTTTGTAACAACAATTGAAGTTTAAAAATATTCATTTTTTAAATGAATAGAACATATTAGTCAATCAAAAAAGTTTCGGCCCAATTAGTCCGTGTTTTGTGCTGTGGTAGTTCTTGGAAGTGAGTATGCTCAAATTATTTAAATCCTGTTACAGGAACCACGGGGACAAAACAGTCAAATTTCTAAACAGTACGGCAAAAATGATTCACCTTCAAGTAGGTCAGACAGTCACAATCAAACGAACTGTAACACAAGCAGTGTTGGAGCAGTTCATGAAAATATCTGGCGACTGCAATGAAGTTCACATGCAAAAGCCTGCTCTTGTTCATGGTGCCTTATTAAACAGCTTTGTGTCTGCGGTAATTGGAACGAGGTTACCTGGTCACGGAACCTTGCTCTTGGGGCAAAATTTACGGTTTCCCAACCCCTGTTATTTAGGTGAAGAAATTACAATTGTTGTTACAATTGAATCGGTCAAAAAAATTGTTGTATGCTCTTTCAATTGTAGTGTGATAGACGATATAAATAGCCCAAAGGCTGTGCTCACAGGCACTGCCAAGTTGTTGTGTAAATCTTAGATTATTTTTTCTTTTGTTAAGGTGTATCGCGTACAATGCTGAACTCGTGATATTAACCTCTGATTACTTTGCTTTATTCAGGAAATGATTTGATTTTTTGAGAGCAGCTCGAACTAAGTAAACCAGTGATTTTCATGGGTTTATATCATTATTGTAAGTAAAATGTCCCAAAAATGTTTGGAAAGAAAATACCCTCTCATTATTGCTGTGTATATTGAAAGAATTGTTACACTTGTTGAATTTCACTGTGATAAAGATTTTAAGGAATTAAAAAAGAAATTAAAACTCATCTGAGAATATGGGTCTTTTTGTTTCCTTTTTGAACTTCTACATACTGTGTGCTTACAAATCAGCTAGATATCTGTAAGTCTTCTACAAAAGGAGCTTACTACTCCTCAGCCAAATTGAACACGGCATCCCTCAATTTTCTCAGGGGTGATAGAGGGTAAGGGTCCTTTTTGAGACTCAACCCTGTATATAATTTTTTACCTAGCCCCTGGGCAATTTTTTTTTTTTTTTTTTTTTTTTGTAACTAAAGAAAAGTAAATTACAAATCATTTTCAGACCTTACGGGTCTTTAAAAATTTAAACTTAACATGTATCAGACAGTATTACAATAATAAACCACTTTAAGCAGATAAAAAATAGACATTAATTGGTAAGCAAATTGAGAGAAAGTGAAGTGAAGGTTTAGGATAGTAATAATAATAATAATAGATAAGGGAAACTCAGGCAACGCATGGCTTGGACTCTAAGCATGAATCAACACGTCATGCGTTGTTATTACCTCGCGTCTAAAATGGAAACGATTCCTGGATACCGGGCGGAAATGCGGAAACTTTTTCTTGATAGATTCCCTGACTGCAAAAATGTCTCAGAGCAGCGCCTAATGGACCAAAAGCGAGTGATACTGAAGTCTTGTAAAATGTCTGCTGATNCGTTAAGACGTTGGGGAGCGTTCACCGTAGCACCTCGTCAATATGTAAAAGTGGTTTTGTGCGGACGGAAGAGAGCGCTGCAAGACGCTGCTGAGCTAGACGTTGAGCGCAGTGTCTCCGTTTTGCGTCTAATTAGACGCAGTGCAACTTATATACACTTTGGCGTTCCACTGTGCATCTTGCGTCTAATTGCAAGTTATTCAGTAAAAGCTGGGAATAATTCTTCAAAAATTGTAAACTTTTAAAATTTGATGATTAAAATGCACCTCTAAATATACAAATATCACATTCTCTTCGTATGTATTTAGTTCCCTAGGCTTTTCACTTTTGCCTTACACTAATTTACCGGATTCGACAGCTGGCGGCAACGCAAGGGCAACCCTCGTGTAGTGACCTAACCTAGAACAAGATATATGTATCTTTGGTGTTAGTTATTGCCGATTCTAATTAAAATACAAGAAAAGTTTTTAGAACTTTTACTTTTTTTAAAATTACGTAAATGAAGCCTTCCGCCTAAAAAGTAGAAACTCACATTTTGCCGTAAAAAACGTGAGCTAAATTTGAATATTTTGACAGGGTTTATTCCTGGGCCAGTTTTATTTGACTACCAATAACTTAATAACTAACATTTTCCAAGAATTGCACTTATGAACCCGCTTGCAATCCATTAGCTAACACATCTTAATGTCAAACATCAATGCATGTGAGATGTGCTTCCAAACACCACCTTTTCGATAACTTCAAACATTCACATCCAAAAGAATTTAGCATGTCGAAATCTTGTTTTTCATTTTTAAAAAAGAATGGCTTTAAATTTATTTTTATTGTTCGAAAAATATTGATAAGAACCTTGTTTGTTAAATAAACGCATTAAGAAATCGTAAAAAATTGCCGCGCAGCGGGCGAATTCAGATTTCCCGCGTCAAATGCTGTCCTCTGATTGGTTGATAGATGCGTTCCATCGTGCGTCTTATTTAACCAATAAGCGCGTTCCATGGTCCCATCGTGTAGTTCAAAACATAAACATTGTTAGGCTTGTGCTTAAGGTTAATCTTCAGCGTTAGTTCTGAAAAAATCCACCACGTCGCGCTGCTAAAATCTGACTCCGAAATCAGCGATTATTTAAATATGAAGAGAAAGACTCTGAATTCTGAAGCTAATAAGTTCTAGCAGCATGTCTGAAGAATGTGTAAAGTCAAAGATGAGCTTTCAAAGTTGCACAATAAAGGCTGGAATTTGATCCCCGTTTTCCTTATGGGAATCCAATGAGTGTGAGAGAGACAGCTGCATTTGCCGCGTACTAGCGCGGCAGAAACGGAAAGCTTGTGATTGGTTGTTTCAAGGTCATTCTTATCTGTGCTGGACTGGCATACCGGCCGGGGCACGTCCTTTTCGTTCGGAGATCGGCTCGCGTCCTCGCATCTCATCACGGCCAGCTGAAATGCCAGAACAGAGGGAAAGAAAGATTTTCTTCCTTCCTCGCTCGAGACCAGCTCGAAACCATTTCCGAGTCTCCGTGCCGCGCGCCGCCGCTGCTAATGCGGCCGCCGGCGCGGATATTTGAATTGACGCTCTTTTCATTTGGAGCCGTCACTCGACAGATGACCATATATAATAGAATCTGTCCTAGCTTTACTGTTGTAAAATATACTTAGCGTTACTTACTTACCTATCGCCGCAGGGTCGGACTGACGCACCTCTGAGGGCGCAGACCCTTAGCCTTAGCCGGCGAAGGGGGCGCAATGTGATATTTTGCTCAGAAGTATGCGGGAACACCCCTCCCCCTCCCCCCCTCTATCTCTCTCTCGTACTCTCGGAAAGGCCGAAATTGTTTAAAAATCAAACTCTTCTAAATAGAATTTTGACGATATTTTCAGGTTCAAAATCGATTAATCTTACAAAAGAAAATTCTGAAATTGAACATAATAATAAAAGTATCGGAGGAATTGTAAGATGAAAAATGTAAAATCGATCAATCAAAGAAAAGCTATTCGCGGCATCCAAGCACCATTATCTCTAGAAGAAACAAGCCAGAGCTCAAGAGATCCAAAATCATGCATTTGAAAACTGAAAGGTGGAAAATGAGGGTGACAAGAAAACAAAAAATACTTCAGACCCTGTATATTGTATAAATAACTGATACATTACATTTTAAATTTAAATTTTCAAATGTTTAAACAAAGTGGGAACAATGAATATCAGGGCCAGATTAAGGTGGTGGCCACATGGGCCGCGGCCCATGGCGGCAAATTTTGCAATTTTCTTAAATGTGGGTATAAAAAAAATGGGATTAAGGAAAACAGATTATCAATGAGAAAAGGGGACAAAATCTCCCTTTCCTAAGAGTATAGTAATTTCTAATTTTGTTGTTTTTCGGTGATACAAGAGACATCATCTTTAATTAGTCGAATTAAGAGAGGGACTAAACACGCAATTTGGCCTGGTGCTCAGCGCAGAGTGGAATGATGACGAGGACTTGAGATGAAAAGGAGAAGCCCTCGGCGCGGCGGTCGGCATGTAACACATGCTAGCGCCTACAAGATTGCATGAATACTTCACGCATTGCGTCAGACACAGTGCGGTCAGCAGCGGTCGGCGTGGAACGCACAGCGCCTACAACACTGTAGGAATACTTCCCGCATTGCGCCAAATACAATGCGGTCAGCGCGGAGCGGCGGCGGAAGTTAAAATTATTAAACCACATTTATGCTTGTTTTTTCTTAATTTTTCCGTTCAATGCTTATAAATGGCAGGCCTTGTCCACAAAGATATAGGTTTACGGGACTTTTTCGCGCTAAGTTCCGAGAACTTTCTCTAGTAGTGCTGACAGGGCTTTCGCAAAAAATGTGTCTAACACGAATAAACGTGTTTTATGCACCCCGCTACCTCCGGCACGTTCACTTGATGGTTTTATTGATGTTTCAAAACGAATGAGAAGGGGGCGGCAAAATACAGGCGGCCCATGGGCGGCAAGTAGGTAAATCCGGCCCTGATGAATATACATACTATAGCTAAAGAAAAGAAAAATGAGACAAGGGGACAGAATACAGAATATACTTTCTTCTATAACTCCTATTAAAACTTCTCTCGTTTACTTATAATTTTAAGGCATTTTTTTCTTTACTTATTTTCTTTTCTCTTTGCTTTTTATTTATTATTCTTTTCTTTTTTTTTCTTCTTTTTTTCCTTTTTTTCTTTTCTTTATTTTCTCCTTTTCTTCATTATCATTCTAGCAGCCGGAAGAGGGGCGCATCTGCCAATGGCAGATTGGCCTTATGGTCAGTCCGACCCTGTATCGCCGTAGATGAGGCAAGGGACTTTTCGAAGGTAAAACTGCATTTTGGGTGGAAGGGAAAAATGTTGAGACTTTTCTTGTCCTTCTCCTGCGATGAGGAATGGAGGCTCGCGCATATTCCAAAGAAGACGGAGAAGTAGGTACGGAGGTATCGTATTATTCTTAGGTAGGTATCCTCATCTAACTTTTCAGGTGACTACAAAATATATGCACTTTTGAAGAGCGTTCGGAGTAAATTTTCAAGAGGTAAGTATAGGGGGTCGTTCATGAAATAAGTAACCCTCTACTAGACGGGCGAGGGTAAGGGAGGGAGTGTTGCAAGAGGGAAAAGGGTGGCGAAAAATCCAAAATTGACGTCTCCTTTTTCTCTTAACACCCCTTTAGGTACAATATTCCCCTTCTTCATTTCATATCGTTACGAGATATGTAATAAATGTTTAAACCATGGAATATGTATTTCGTAAGATCAGGATCGGACTAGGAGGGTATGGATTCGATCGACATGAATCGATCGAAAAATGAAAACGTGAATCGATCGACATGAATCGATCGACACCGATTTGATCGACAAATTGTTAAAAAACCGGTGTCGATTCGATCGACATGAATCGATCGAAAAATGAAAACGTGAATCGATCGACACCGATTCGATCGACACCGATTCGATCGACACCGATTCGATCGACATGAATCGATCGACACCGATTCGATCGACATGAATCGATCGACACCGATTCAATCGACATGAATCGATCGACAAGAATCGATCGACAAATTGTTAAAAAACCGGTGTCGATTTGATCGACATGAATCGCTCGAAAAATGAAAACGTGAATCGATCGACATGAATCGATCGACACCGATTCGATCGACAAATTGTTAAAAAACCGGTGTCGATTCGATCGACATGAATCGATCGAAAATGAAAACGTGAATCGATCGAAAAATGAAAACGTGAATCGATCGACACCGATTCGATCGACATGAATCGATCGACATGAACGATCGACACCGATTCGATCGAAAAATTGTTAAAAAACTGGTGTCGATTCGATCGACATGAA